GGATGATTTTAGCTTTTTTATTACTGCACCCCAGGTGTTCGACAAAATGCTATTGAACGATCTTAAGTGTTCTATGTCTATGACATTTGTTGTTGTTTTTTGTGTACAACATTTTCTATCACTCTTATCCACTCGGGTACTTGAGATAAATAGACCTCCACGGATTGGTTGTAATTTTTTTTGTGAAGGGTAATATTTGTTGATTTCTCCTATTATAACACTTTTTTTGTATGAAAAATCATTTTAGAAAAAAAAAACCTCTGCAACTCTGCTTGTCTTTCCAAAACTCTCCAACTAAGCCTCCTCTTTTTTGTATGAAAAATCATATTATAACACTTTTTTTGTTTAAATTTTTTGAATTTTTGAAGGTTTTTTCCATGAGTTTCGATTCAAGTTGTATCAAAAGTGTTTTACTCTACTTAATAAACTTGTAGACTGTAGAGTATATCTCATGTTGACAAACTAGTGGATATAATCGGTTGGAATATTAGCTGTCATGGTTAGTTAGGTTGTTAAACGACTAGTGGATATAGTAGGATGGGATATTAACCGCCATAGTTTTGGTTAGGTTGTTAGAGGCTCCCCTGTTATCCCATTCAATTATCTCCTTTTTTCTTTGAGAAATTAAATATCCTCCTACATTTTCTTCCTACCATCCTTCTACCTATGTCAAATGACGACATGTGTCATATTTAATTTTTCTTAATAATATTTTAATCCACTTGTCGCCATTTTACATGGATAGGAAGATAAGTAGGAGTAAATTGTAGGAGGATATTTAATTTCTTTTTTTTCTTTATTGCATATGAAGATAATAATATATATATAAATGTGATTTTCTCATTAAATATTCTTTGTATACATGTCATAGTTTTCCTATATGTAATGTTATGTATCTTCAAAATGACTTCTTCTAGTCTTATCGTTTCGAAGATTAGGTGTCCATGTATTTAGTTTCATGTATTTTTTTGGACTAACATTACACTTTCTTCATTTGTTCATCATAAATATCAGTTTGCATCTTTTCTATTAGTTCAAATAATGATTTCAAAGCGTATGTTCAATCGTGGTATTCAATATATATTCACTATTGGTTTTACAACAATTGATACAACCACTGTTGTCAATAGTAACCTCGACTGCTCCACCTCCGGCTTCCATCATTGCTCCGTCCCCATCTCAACTGTAATCTAAGTTTTATTTATTTATTTATTTATTTTTTTCCAGATTGTATTTTGATTCTATATTTCTGAAGTACAAAAAATTACAATGTCGTCGATTTAGAAGATGATGATTATGAAATGCTAATAGGAGTGAGGTTCAATCAAACTAGAAGGGCCTTTGGGTATCATAGTTGTCGATATCAAATAGTGGTAAATAACGACAAACTACATATATCCTAGGCAGAGATAGAGATGAAATTATTAAATTCAAATATTATTGCAATTATAGTCATTAAATAAGCAAACAACTCTAATACTAGCTAAAATACTTAAACATTTTATTTTTAAAGACATGTTATGACGCAAATTACAAAGATTTATAGTACGTATTTAAACATAAAAATCGAAGATAAAATTTTAATTCAAGTACAAATCAAAGATCATCTAGATCCTCTCATCAAAGTTGAGTTATATATTTTTGTTGTTACCGTCATGTTCTTGTTTTTTGGCCACGTGTTTTTGCCTCAAACCCAGTATTCAACTTGTCTTGCTAGTTTTATTTATGTATCCAATGTAGTGAAACATATATACTGCTATTTCCATTTCAAAAGCATTGAAAGTTTCATAGTACGTAGTGTTGCTGTAAAAATTCACCGCTTTAAGTAGTAGTTGAGCTCATAATACCAAGTTTCATAATACCTAGTGCTGCTGGAAAAGTGCACTATTTTAAGTAGGAATTGAGCTCATAGCAGTATACATGCATTGAGCATTCATTAAGGTACCAAATCAGCCAAAAATGTTGGTCTACGTTAAATTCAATTAACATTAGTTAAAATAGTTCTAGGCATCAGTTACCCACGATCTACAAACTTTCACATTATATGTACTTATTTTTATTGCTACTTTAAAGACTGTTGTCGGAGGTTTCTCTTAATTTTATTGAGTTGAAAAGTTGCTTTGAGATTGACACCATTATCTGTCATCAAACAATAAAGCATGAGATAATCAACAACTTACTTTTGTAGTTTTTTACGGTTACCATAAGCTTTTGATGTCATTCTTTATATGGCAACACGTGTTTAAAACTACATAATAATTGTAATTTAACGACCACATACATTTTCTGGATTTCGTTGGCCGACAAGCCTACACTTGGATAATGTCGGCATAACTTGAGGTGATCTTCTGCTCTTTATTCAGAACTCGCCGCTACTTAAAACTCTAACATTGGTAAAATCATATACTCTACTTCTATTATTTTTTGTAGCAATTTCACTTATGCGTTATTGATTCCTATATCTTTTCTTTGTATTGTAGAGATGTATAACTACTTGTGAGATTATTGGTCTTAGGTGATTCTTAGCAGATTAGTTGTACATATATGCTCGTAACACATTTCCTTATCTGGAGACTTAGATGCTTATTAAGGTCGGAATTCTAAAAGTAAAAGTACCTGTAATTTATGATCTCCACTTCCCTTTGTGTATCTTCTTCGGTTTTTACGCATCCTAAATTATATGTAATAAATGCTATAGATGTATTAGTAAGTTTTAATTGTTAATAAACACTAATTTCTTTATATGGTCAATCTCTTTAACTTTAGATTTCTGTTGGTAATCATGGTTTGCCTAAACAACACTTCAACCCTGTGATTAAATCAAGGCAACGCCAACGAAATTCTAAAGTAGAAGAGATTGCTCGAATAGAGAAATGAATGTTCATTAACAATTAAAACTTACTAATAAGTTTATAATCTTTATCTTTATTACAAATAAATTTGGATTGTGTAAACAAAATATGAAGGTACACAAAGGGAAGTGGAGGCCATGAATGTCAAATACTTCTAGAATTCAGATCTTCAATAGGAATCTATGGAATTCATGGGACAGAGGAAATGTGTTATGGATATATATTTATAACTAATAATGCTAAGAACAACCTAAGATTAATAATCTTACAAACCGTAGTACATCTCTACGATAAAAACAAAAACTATAGGAATTAACTAAGCATAAGTGAAATTACTAAAAATGAACATAAGTAGAATGAATGATTTTACCAAAACTATATTTTTTAGTATCGACGAGTTTTGGAAATAGTAGAAAATCACCGGAAGTTATGTTAACATTGTAAAAGTGTAGGGCTGTAGGCTTGTCAACCAGTGAAATCCAGAAAACGTATATGGTGGTTGAATTAACTGCTTTTGTAGTTTTAAATGCTTCAAGTTTTCCCTTGTAAATAATGGCGCCAAATATTTATGGTAACCGTTGAAAAAACACAAAAGTAAAGATGTTGATTATCTTTTTGCAATATATTTTAGGGTTTCAAGTATTTTTTTTCGTTACTTTTTGCAATAAATACAGTTTGTTTTTCAAAAACCATATGTAAGTTAACAACCAATAAACCATAATTAAACACACAAATGAACACATTAGAAAGGACAAACCTTTAATTTAATTTAAAAAAAAACAATCAAAAATTACTCCTGAATTCCGGTCCGAAATGTTCCTTCGGGATTCCGGACTTCACTCCAGAACACATTGTTCAGGACATAGTGGTCATTTTACTAAAAAAATAAAAAAAAATTATTATTATTATTATTATTTTTATCAAAAATGCCATTTCTATAGATTAGATTACTTAATTTCCCAAAAGTTTTATGTAGTCGATTAGTTTTCATCTGAAAAAGACATGTTTTGGCTTCGGCTAGATGGAATATGATAGCATCTCCTGTTAAATTAAATTCCATCCGGATGATTTCAGGTTTTTTGTTACTGCACCCCAGTTGTTTGACAAAACGCTATTGAACGATATCAAGTGTTCTATGTATATGTCTTTCATTGTTTTTAGTTTTTTTTTCCTTTTTTTTTCGTGGACACCATATTCCAATTATTTGGGTACTGAGATATATAGACCCCCTAAATGTATCGGTTGTAATTTTATATGAAGGGGAATATTTGCTGATTTCTCCTATTTAACATTTTCTTTGATTGAAAGAAACATCTGCAACTTAACTTTTCTTTCCAAAACTCCCCACCTCTGCGTCATTTTGGCAAGAACTCTCCTGAAGAACAAAACAATTAGCAATATATATGCTATGTGACTATGTCACTTATCACTTGAAGACAACCATCAAACCTCGACAGAGTTTTACAAGTTTTCTGGTCAAAATTAATAAAAACAATCAGTCTTAGTTCAATGGTAATTATTAGTTATGATTTGCAAACTCCAGCGTTGACCAAAGTAGAAATGAAGTGGAAGTAGGTTGCTAATAAGCATAGTTTTCCTCTAAGCTGTATAAAATTTTGGAATTCTAGAATATTTTTTTCCATGAGTTTATTCAAGTTGGATCGATGTGTTTTACTCTACTTAATAAGCCTATAGATTATAAATATGAAGATAATATTATATATTTAAATGCAATAATCTCTTTTTTTATAAGTTACATACGCAAAAGCAGAATTGCCAGTATGGCCTGAAACGGCAAAACAAGGAATTGATACGGCGTTTATGGTTTGCCATTTTTGTAAATTTAAGATCAAAACTGAAATAACGACATTTTGTTTGCTTGTTCAGAGCAACAAATGTATTATATTGAATATCAAACTCGACAAAATCATGACATGCAACAAAACAAAGCGAACAGGATCAATGAAAACTTTAAACAAGTCGCATATACTTACTCAAAATTAGTGTTTTAAAATCAAGTTAACAGAAATATTACAAGTATAAAAAAGTATTCATAATCAATCCAAAAAAACATCTAAACAAAATAGGTTCAATTAAACCTTCATCACTAAAACTTAATTTGCCTTCACAAGCAATTCTTTAGGGCGTTCAATAATGAGCTTGGCTGCTGGTGATGCACGTGGAAATTGCAAGTTTAACAAATCTCAGAAGCATCATAACTTCTGCATCAACAGAAACTGATGCACTGAGCTCGATTCGTGCTATCTTCAGCACAGGTGACTTAGCCATGATGAGCTTCAGAAACTCCATCTCAAGAGCATGGTTACGGAAGTTTGTTATCTCCAGTTCTTTAAGATGATCCAGGTTGAGGCCCGAATAGTCTTCAGGATCAAGCAAAGTAGTGAAAGTTTGCTCATTACAATAAACCATCTACTCAAAAAGCATGTCAAAATTGTGAATAAAGTTATGAATATCCATTACAATCGTGTGATAACATGTTTATATTTACCCTCAATTTAACCTTCTCCAAATTTGGGGAGCTGTTGATCACACAGATATATAGTGGAGGAAAGCTCATCTTGTTCATGAAAACACACTTGAAGAACAAGTATCCTCAAGTAGGCTAGTGAAGTGGGGAGCTTTTGTGACCTAACACCTGCATAGAAGTCCTATAACCAGATCCCAGAACATTAATGATTATAACAAATATTATTGCATGAGATAAAACAACCAAGTTAAGTATGTATTACCGCATCATGAAACCAAGAGATGTTCACAACTTGAACCGAAGGTAAACACTTAAACAACTCAACAAATGTACACGTGTTTCCTTCTGTAAAGTCTACAAACTCATATCCAGTCTGCATAAATAACTTTGTAAGAAGATTTTTTATTTTACGAAGCTACATGAATCTTAGTTATATGGACTTTACCAAAGTAAATTGCTCAAGTAGTGGGCAACTTGTAAGAATACGTTGAAGCATAGTGGCAGTGATGTAAACCTCGGATAATATCAGGCTCTTCAACAAACTAAATCCATTAAACATTGATGGAACCCCAATTTCACAATGTTTGAGAGATAGGTGTTCTAATCCTTGCATTGAAAAAAATGAACACGGTAGCTTGTAATATTCATTAATTAATTAAAGAAATCTCAAAAATAAATTTCTTGATATATTTGCTCCATGAAAGAAGAAGTATAATCTGATCGATCTCATTATCAATTTTTTCATTAGCAATACAAATACAGAGTTCCGATATCGGACCCCTGTGTAACAACAAAACATGGAAGATAGCATTGACAAGCTTAAATTTATTGATTTTTTTTTTCATATTCTTAACGAGTTTGTCATCAAATACAAGTTTCTGCATGCCCTTCCAGCAATGTCTCCATTTTTTTGACAGAGTGCTCGTCTTCAATGCATCTCTGATTGGCATAAAAGTCTGAATTTTTTCAATTACATCTTGAGGGAGACTGCCGATTCTATCCGAACTTTGGCGTTGAGCTTTCATCTCTTGAGTTGGATATTGCACAACGCTGGAGAGTAGAATTCTCAAGTTTATTGATTCGAAGAACCAGTTGACTTTTTAATATACTTATAAAATAAAACTATCTAAAAATCCAATCATGCAACTCAAACCCTAGAACGAAAACACGATGAATCACGGCGTCAGCAACATTAAATACTGCCTGCAATTAACCCGGATATGGGTCAGACCGACAGACCCGTCATCTTTTGAACTCTAATCACTTATACAGTTTTTACCCCTCTGCAACAATTCTTTATCATACAAACTTAATATATAGCAAATTCAGTCCTTTACCTTTTATTAAACAACTATAAATTGCTTCTCCCCGTTTCGTGGGGGACGCAAGTCGAAAATCTACTTATGTCCGATTTTTTAAACATATGAACTATTTCTATAAAAAATATGTACATGGACCTTTTCTATAAATTAAGGGAGAGCTTTTGTAATTGATGTTCTACATAGGGACCAAACCTACTAACATACGAAAGTATTGTGGCCAAAGTCTAAAATCCAAACGTAAAAAATGAGAATTTTGTATATACCTTTATTAAACATTAATATATCATATTTATCCAACTTTATTTGTAAAATTCATATTTATCATTTATAAATATTCAAAATATCAAATTTTGTCCAAACCCTTATTTTTAACATTTTTTTGAACATTTTCTAATCTTTTTAAAATATTTATTTTTATAAGTTGACTATTCTACCTCTCTTATATATTATTGACTATTAAATATTTTTTCTGTTATTTTAAATTTCTACCATTCTATTTCCGCTAGATAATTTTATCGGCTCTTCCACTTTACATTGTCGACCAACAATTATATTATAAGAAGAATTTTGTTATCAACTTGTAACGTTCCGAAAATCACAATCAATTTTTTTTTTCAAAATTTAAAGATAAATAAAACTCATTTTCATTAAACCAACAACATCATGAAGGTTGTTGAAGAATGTGTACAATTACACATTTGTATTTCCTCGATCCTAAGAAATACCTGAAACATTTAAATTCACAATTGTAAGCCGAAACTTAGTGAGTTCCGCAAAATATCACATATAACATAGCACAGCTAAAACATGCATAACAATAACAGATTATCAGCAACCCCGAGTCACCAACGACTCAAACACAACATATGGTGGTTAGCAGCGACCTCAAATCCTCAACGACTCAAGTATAGCATATGACATAAGCATTGTTGTAAAAATCGGTCTAGGCGGCCGATTGATTGGCGCCTAAACGCATGGCGACCCCTAATTGCTTACAAATAGATGTTATTAGGCTAGTTGGCCTTGGTCAATATCGGACAAAATCGTTCCAATTCGGTTCAAATCAAACTAAATCGACCCCACTCAGATAAAATCGGACCAAACTTAGTCAAAATCGGACCTAACGACTCCAACCCATTATAAGTAACTTTTCGGCTCAAAAGAGAGAGCTAGCCCAATTGCAAAGGCAATTAATACTAAAGAGACCAACCCTCCTTTCATAAAGGAGATGCCTCATTTGCTTTTTTTTCCACAACCGATGTGGGATGGAAAGTTGGCAAAACTTCCTCATTTTTGTTTTCTCTTATTCCATCAAGCAAACTAAATCCATTAAACATTGATGGAACCCCAATTTCACAATGTTTGAGAGATAGGTGTTCTAATCCTTGCATTGAAAAAAATGAACACGCTAGCTTGTAATATTCATTAATTAAAGAAATCTCAAAAATGAATTTCTTGATATTTTTGCTCCATGAAAGATGAAGTATAATCTGATCGATCTCGTTATCAATTTCTTCCTTAGCAATAAAAATACAGAGTTTCGATATCGGACCCCTGTGTAACAACAAAACATGGAAGATAGCATTGACAAGCTTAAATTTATTGATTTTTTCATATTCTTAACGAGTTTGTCATCAAATACAAGTTTCTGCATGCCCTTCCAGCAATGTCTCCATTTTTTTGACAGAATGCTCGTCTTCAATGCATTTTTGATTGGCATAAAAGTCATAATTTTTTCAATTAAATCTTGAGGGAGACTATCGATTCTATCCGAACTTTGCTTTTTTTTCCACAGTCGAGGTTTAAGGCTTAGACAAGCGTGACCCATCCAACTCAAACGAGTGTGTCGTGCATGGGTTTGATGCTCCACGCTCAGACCTTTCTCATAATGGTTTTTGACTTAATCCATTAAGTTACAACCCCATCTTCCAGATCTAAACTCTAACAAGGTCTAAATGGATAAAGTTTCCAACTTTATTCATTAAGACATACCCCAACAACCAAAATCTAAACTTTTGTCTTCTAAGAGACCTAAAATACCTCTAAGACTTGCATGGCTTGAAGGACAGGCTAAAGGTCCCAACTTTATTTGTCTTTAAGGTTCTAAAAGCATCATGAAGTGCTTACATGGTGTTCGAGTTCATTCAACCCCAATATCACCATGAAAAGAGACTAAAGAAGGCATAGATTGGACACAAGACAAGATCTAGTAAACACAAAGGAAAGGTTAGAGCTTTATACTCACAAAAGTTCAGGAGTGAAGCAAACTTGTTGGATCTACTCTTGTTCTTCACTTCCAAGCACCAAGGATGATCTTGATCTTCAGGCTTTAAGCACAAAACAAGGTAAAATGATCTCTTAATGTGTCAAAATGATCAAAAGAAGAGAAAATAAGGGCTAGGGTTTCTCGAGTAGCTCTCCAAAGGACGAAGGAGGTCGCAAGTGATCCAACCTTTCAGAGTTAAGGGTCTTTAAATTGCCCCAAAACCCTAAATACATGTTCATCCCATGGGCTAAGAGCGCCACACCCTAAAGAAATGTGTCGCACCCATTGCGATAAATTTCAATATTTAGTTTTTGAGCAAGTAAGCAAAATAGAACCAAAATAATTTACATACCAATAATAGGGATGTTACAACTCTCCCGTACTTATCAAATTTCTTCTTCAAAATCCATAACAATAAACAACTCTAGGTAATGCTCGCACATTTCCTCATCGGGCTCCTAGGTCCACTCAGAACTCTTCCGGTGCTACTACTACACCTTTACCAAAGTCACCTCCTTGTTGCGTAAGCCCTTTATCTTCCTATCCAATAAGGTTATCGATCTCTCTCCACCTGAATGTCGTTCAAAGGCACTACCGTTGAATAATCTGCTAAACACTTTTGCATATGGGAGACATGAAAAGTGTTATGAATCTGACTTAGATTCTCGAGTAGATCCAACTAATAGGCAACCTTCCCACCCTAGCAATCACTTAGCATGGTCCGATGAATCTAGGGCCTAACTTACCCTGCTTCCAAAATCAAATTACACCCTTCCAGGGTGACACCTTCAAAGGTATAAAATCTACGACCTAGAACTCGAGATCAGACCAACGCCGACCTGTATAACTCTTATGCCAGCTCTGCATAGTCTGCAGCCTCATGTATACCTGTTGTATTAGCTATGTGGTCTTGAGCACCACCTCCGTGCTCCCCAAGACTATGACCAACCGCTCCCTATCAAATTGGGGTCTGACATTGTAATGCTTGTAAGTTATGACTAAACGATTAAATGATTTTAGTTATAATTGTTCATTTTATTGAATAATTAAAACCCTCGAATAAGATAATTATTCATTATACGCGTTACAATCTATATAAATATTTATTTATTGTGTACACGTTATATGGACAAATATTATGAGTATATAATATTTGTAGGAAATCTTATAAATTTATCGTGTGCTATAAATTAACATTTTAGAAAGAAGATTATTTAGGATACATAATCATAAACAAAGTTATGGTAGTCGTGAGGACGACTCCGTGAGTATAAAGAACGCCCAAATCTGACTTCGTATGCATAATTTAAGATTTTTCAAAGTTTTACATTCAACCCGATACAACAAAATGTGTCATAAATGATGAAATGTATATCGGCTGCTTGTTAGTCAAAACAATCAATATGGAAGTTGGTGTCCTCATAAATACAAATCCGTCGATATAGAGAACGTCAAGAAAGGAGCTCGGATATGATTTTTCGAAGAAAGCAAATTTATACCGGCATGAGCGACGCAACCCCACTCTCATTGGCCATGTGTGACAATCAGAAGGCACCCTTGCCGCCTACACAAAGGCGTGGTGCGCCCACCCTTCCTAGAAGCATATAAATAGAACTTGATATTTTCTTCATTCCTCACAATTTTCATTGCAACTTCTCTGGAGAACTTCCCCACTCCAAGCCCTAATCTTCCCAAGTTTTCGGCTACTTTAGAGAGGCGGTGAAGCGTCAAAGAGTCGGATGAAAATAAGTATTTGGATTTGAAGTTCTTCCTGCGAACTTCCAAATTTTTTCTAGAAAACCTATAAGTTGAGTTGTACTTCTACGATTGCAAGTATAACTTGTATTTATATTCATTTTCATTATTATGAACCTATAAATAAGATTTATCAGTGATTCCAGTCATAATATTGATTGATCTACTTAGGGAAGTGATGTCTATGCTACATCTAGTGAGGTGTTTAAAGTGGATTTTCCAAATAGTATACTTTGTATACCAAACGGATCTTACCTCCGATATGATCTT